ATAATATTTCATATTAAACTAACTCACTTCTAAAAGATATCTAAATTATATGTATGTTTAATCATAGTATATTCAGTATATAGTTACATTAGTTCGACGGATCGTTAACCTTGTAGGTCGGTTGGTCGTGGTTGTTGTTGTCACCTCTCGTAGTTTAGTGGTCAGAACATTGGTGCGTAAAGCCAAAGGTCCCGGGTTCGATTCCCGGCGGGGGTGTGACAACAGCAACAATTTTTCCCTCATTAACTTGAGGTAGTTTGTAGTAGGTAAATAAAAAATCGAAAAAATGATTTCAAAATAATAATGGTCGAATCGTGCCGATCCAAAGGTCATTAACTAGTTAAATCGAATTAAAAAGCATAGGAGCAATAAAAATACATGGACAAAGGAAAAACAACTTTGTTTTACGTATAGTGTTGCGATGTTCCTTGGGAATTCAAAAATTCGGAAAATTGCTTTTCATTACTCATATTGTCAATGTCGCAAAACGAATATTTGTTAATCAAAACTTTTTAGAACCGCTGAAAATTATAACAAAATTGCATACTAAAACAGTAATTCGACTTCAATACTTGAAATGTTTCAGTATCTATTTACTTATTTATTTTGCTCTATACAAATTTCGCATTATTAGAGCATCTTTAGAAGCTCAACAATTTAAACATTAGTTATCTAGTTTATTTCGATCTTAGATTAATGGAAAATTTCGATTATACCAACTAGTCCTTTTTTATATAAGTATAGCCCGAGATAAAAATGTTCAGTCTCTCAGAGTTTCTGAAAGCGAGACTCGAATCTCCGTCTCTCATCGAGTCTCTCTGGTGTCGCTGAGAGAGACTGTCGAGAGACTGTCAAAAAACTGTTTAACGTCTTTGAACGAGAGACTCGAGTCGCTCGCAGTCTCTGAACGAGAGACTCGAATCTCTCAATAAGTGGTGTCTCTATAGACATGGTTAAAACTTTCGACATATTTCAGAGATCCCAGTCTTTCTACGAGAGACTCGAGTTTTATTCATTCAGTCTCTCTGTGAGAGACTCGAACCTCTGAATTAACAATTTTATCGTTTGAGTTTCTCACACAGAGACTGCGAGAGATCCTTAAAAACACCTAGGCAATAACTGAGAGACTGTGAATGACTGTGAGAGACGTTCTCAGAGACGCTGGAAGACTCTGAGAGACTGAAATTTTTTGTCTAGGGAATAAGCGGAATAAATAAATAAATGAGCTATTTAAATTAACTATCATAATTGATTAGTAAAATATTCTTAGAGAAATAATTACTTGATGATGCTGCATTTTCTGGATCAGACTGACCACAAACATTTTATTTTTAAACTAACAGAGGACGTGTCTACAAGTGATTTCGGTCTTTATATGCATATGCCTTTAAGTCCTCAATAGCATGGAACTCCCTAAGAATAAGTCCGACTATTATATGAAATATGTTCCTATTGGTTGTTTCTGTTCTCTGTTATGTTTTTACAGTAATAATATTATCTTCGCTAGTCGGCCATGTAATTGTTGGAAGCTCTTTGAATATCGGAAAAGAAACTAAGAGCCTAATCCATTCCTAATTTAAATTAAGATAAATAGGTTAGGTTTGGCCAACTACATATCATGGAAACTTCCATGAGAAATGAGAGTACATGCACGTTTTGGAAAACATTAATGTTACGAGACATTATTAACATTTACTAAAATTTCGTTAGAGCATACATCCGTACAGATTTCATGAAATTCCAAATTATTCGTTCCTGAGTACCTAATTCAGAAATGATTTCTTTTTGTTAGAAGTGGCTTGACCCTGCGCTGTTCTTTGTTGCTTTTAGTTTTTTGTTTACAATTCTCTGTTATTTAATTTTTATTTTGAGTTCTGCAAATATTAATTCGTTTGATAAAAATATTTTGCATGAATAATAAATGATTCAGATTTTTGGTTTTTCCTTGTAGTACATAAGAAAGTGCCTTAAAAAATATGAACGTAAAAGAAAATTTTTACCCAATAAGCACTTATTGTACTGATTCCGATTTATTGAAATCGTATGTATAACATGAATTTGTGGTTATTTATATATCTGTTGGCAAGCCGTAATACTTCATAAATTGGATTATTTTTCCGCGAAAAAAGAGATCGTTATAGAAGAGCCGTCCGATTGCTTTCGTGTTCGGAAAATTGATCGCGGCCAACTTCGAAACGATCACGCAACTCACGAAACGTAAATGTCTAGCAATAAATAACACGAAGGCCTTTAATAAACGGCCATTTAGACACAAGAACACCATGACAGATAAGCTTTCAAGGTACCCATATTTTAAATAATCGCAATTATAAGAACATCTCCAGTATTAAGACATTACATACTGTATGTCATAAATCAGCCTTTACACTTAATGGTTAATTACAGAAAATTGTATTTGCGTTTCATTAAAATTTTAGCTCTGTATGGAAGCACGTTTTTTATTAGAAGTACCTACCCATTGGATTAAACATAAGCACATGAAACACGACGTAACATTAAAGGTCGATTCTCACTATACATTCCGTTTCCATTCCACATTCAGGCCGTAAAATCTTTCCCTAAATTATTGTATCTTTGGTAAATTGACCCTAAGAATACATGTGCCGACGACGCAGCGTCTGGATACCTACCTTCCATTCCATATATACCAACATTCAAACGAAACGTACTTTTAACGTAAAATAATTGATATGCAATAAAAATAGAAACACATGCTATATCAGTTCATTTTTAGTATTAAATTTATAAAATCTAACCCAAATTTAGTCTAACAATTGTTACAATCCTTAAAGCTCTTGTTAATAATAAAATTAGTGATGATTGATGATCTTGCAGAATTTTGGCAGGCTGAAGTTGTACTTCGTGTTATAACAGGTCTTATCGGCAGTTTTAGTTGGCATTTACAACAATTAGTACTTTTTTTCAATGGTTTCAACCGTCTTGACGAAAATCCGTTTGCAAAAAGTTACAGATTGATTGACCTTTTGAACGAGGTTTAATGATTGGTTTGGTATGTAAGTGAGGGTGACATTTAATGGAATGTCCTATAGAATTAATCATAACATTAGGAACTAGCCACAAAATCACACAAGCTTTTTCACATGTGTAATAAATCGATAAGTTCATTGATCAATATTTATTACCTTCCATATACGTATAGTAAATCCAAAGACGTCTTTTGCGTCTATTTGCAAATTCATAAAGAATAATAGCTTCAATCATTAAATTTTCCTCACATACAGGGTGTCCCACAGTTTATTAATCATGCCATAGCGCATGGAAGTAAAAATGATAGAGAGAGATGAAACAATAGTCAGGCAGTAAGTTTTCAAAGCAAACTACCACCATCTGGGGAAAACTGCCCCTGTATAACTACCCTCAATTTTAATTTTTCAATGGTACCCCTACTATCGGTTTGTAGAAACAAGAACACCATGCGATGCGGAATTCAATGGTAACTAACGCAGTTTATTACAATCATCTAACTAAGAATACAGAGATATGAAAGTGTAATATTTCACTATGTAGGCTTTACAGAAAATATGCAAACTGGGCGTTATTAACCGTATTAGTACAGGCCTCATATCGTAGAATCAATTCTCGAATGGACTGTTCCTTCCACTATACCTGGACTATTGACATTCTGTAACATGTCATGTTACATACCGTTGAATTCTGCATCGCATGATGGTTTCATGTCTGCAAACAGATGGTGGTTGTTCATGCGTTTTGAAAGCTTACTGCCTGACAATTAAAATAGTTTTTGGTTCATCTTTCTATCATTTTTATATTCTGCGTTACGCTTGCACAAGAAATTGTGGTGCAAGATACGAGGTGCGTATTCTTATCTAAAGTTGGGTTTTGGGGTTGTCAAAGACTCCACGTAAAACCCTTTTTGTTCTTTAGGCGTATTATTCATATTATTTCTAGGTAAATATTCCTAAGGGTGAATTAAAATTGTGTGTTGTTTTAGATTTCAATCGTTTAATCTCAAACGTGAACGAATAATTACCGACAATATAAAAATTAAGCGGTTTATTTTTGACATGCCGTATGGTGATATGATTGATAAAGCATCACAACACGTGTTAACACGAACGTCAGAGCTTATTTAATCCGAATTCGACTTTTAATCCGATTCTATACACACGCAAGGAAAGTAAGGTCATGAAACGATAATGCGTATAAAGGTACTATTTTTAAACTAATTTTAAATCGAATTAGATGTATATTGAACGGAGATAGTATAATTAATTTTATCAAACGTTTTCGTTTTGATTGAGTAGGTAGTAGATGATTTTCCCATGAACAGCCGCTAGGCATCTTTCCTTTTTAGAGAATATGTACATATATGTAGAAAATCCACAGCTACTTCAGAGCTTTTAGAGGAAGTTATTAATATCATTTTTCCAATAAAATAAAGTAGATCAAATTTTCAATAAAAAAACTAAATATGTTAATTGGTATATAAACGATCGCAACCAAATGTTCTACGACACTTTAGATTGATTCTATATTGACTGCCTTATTATCAATGAACTACTTCAAATAAATAGAGGGCAAGCTGAGTTTTTTATGTTTAATTCTGTTTTTAGTATCTATTTTAGTATATTAAGTACGAGGCATCCGTTTATAACACTGTATTATGTACAAAGATAATCGCAAATACGTAAATTATTGCAATACAATATTGAATAAGATCTACGAGGTCTGTTCAAAAAGTAGCGCCAATTTTGAATTTTCGCGGGAACATTCGATTTTCGATTTTTTTGTGGCGTTATGATGGTATTCATCTCTCATATCGACGAGTTCAGCCATGTTGAATGGTCAGTTAATTTTTTTGCATGCACGTGTTTTGGCTCGTCTTCCATTTTTGCCTATTTCAAAAAATGCATCAAAGAATCTGTATCAAATTTAGTGTGAAAAATAAAATTCCGAATCTTGATTATGGCATATAGTGAAGCTATGTTGGACCGAAGCAACGTTTATCGGTGGTATAAAATGTTCTCAGAGGGTCGAGAAGATGTGAACGACGAAGAGCGTGCCGGTTGTTCGAGCACGTCAATAACAGGCGAAAACATTCATGAAGTGAAGAAAATAGTATTAGTCAATCGAAGAATCACTGTTAGAGAAGTTGCTAAGGACCTAAACATATCGATTGGCTCTTGCTATTCAATTTTTACTAATGATCTAGCAATGAGTTGCGAAATTCGTACCAAAATTGCTCAATTTCGACCAAAAACAGCATCGCATTGACTTGCTAAGGAGCTGTTGAGCACGTCAACAACAGGCGGAAACATTGATGAAGTGAAGAAAATAGTATTGGTCAATCGTAGAATCACCGTTAGAGAAGTTGCTAAGGACCTAAACATATCGATTGACTCTTGCCATTCGATTTTTACTAATGATCTGGGAATGAGTTGCGAAATTTGTACCAAAATTGGTCAATTTCGACCAAAAACAACTTCGCATTGACATTGCTAAGGAGCTGTTGGACTGCGACGATACAAATTTGCTCCAGAGGGTCATAACTGGTGACGGATCGTGGGTTTTATAGTTATGACGTAAAACCAAAGCTTAATCATCCCAAAGGAAGCTACCGCACGAGCCAAGACTGAAGAGAAACCAAGTTTACAGTTTATTTCAATTACAGGGTCGTGGTGCATCATGAGTCCTTGCCACAGGGTAGAACGGTCAATATGGAATATTACCTGCAAATTATGCGCAATTTGCGCGAAGCAATCCGCCAGAAACGTCCGGATTTGTGGAAGAACAAAAATTGGCTTTCGCACCATGATAACGCCCCTGATCACACAACGTTGCTTGTGCGAGAATTTTTGGCCAAAAGCAACACACTAAAAATGCCGCAGTCGCCGTATTCCCCAGATTTGGCCCCTGTGACTTTTTCTTTTTCCCGAAACTGAAGGACTTCGCTACATTACGGCTGAGGAAATAAAGGCGGCATCGAAGGAGGAGCTGAACAAGATCACAAAAAAATATTTTTTGAAGTGCTTCGAGGATTGGAGAAAAACTTGGCACTAGTGTGTAATATCTGGTGAGCATTACTTTGAAGGGGACAAAATAGATATTCATCAATAAATAAATAATTTTTGAAAAAACAGAAAATTCGCGATACTTTTTGAACAGACTTCGTACATACCTTTTTCATGCATCCCACGAAGTTGCTATTGACTCTTGTTCCAGGAAGCGCCCTCGTATCTTCGCTTCCTCCAAGAAAAATTCTCGTCGACGATAAAACCTTGAATTTCCCTGCAATGTGGGAGTGGTCCGCATAAGCGCCGTCAACCACTGCAGAGAGCTGAAACAACGGAGAAAAATTGAGAAATACGAAGAGAGAACACGCTGATCTAATACAAATTTACTCCGCGAAACAGGAGGCATCTGTAGAGGATAACGATGAAGAAGATAAAGGAACTACCACGAATATTTATTCAAGTATACGATAAAATTCGAGATCTATTTCTGTATTGTATAATGAAAATATTGCAAATCGGTTTTAATCATATCTGTTAGATTTGATCTTTAGCCTTAAGAAGTCATACAATTAAATTAATAATACCTACAGGGATTTTAGTCGGTAGATCCGAGAATACCTTCCTCGGGAATCCGATACTACCCAGTCGTGCGAACAGCTTCGTGTTTTTTTAACCCTGCGTACTGAAGGAGCTGATTTGTCTTAGCCTGTTTTTTAATTATGAGCCTCCTTCCACCCATTATAGTAGAACCTATGGTTTGGCTCCTTAAATCATCGAAATCTACTCTTGGTTCTATAAGGGGTCCGTCAAGGTTCAAGTCCCGAAATGAGATAATAAAATATTTATTATCCATTTTTTCTATCAATACTTCAGCATTACATTAGAATTACTATTTAATGTTTGATTTTGCGGAGAAATAAGAAGGATTTTGTTTCTATTGCACCATTTGAATAGGTGCAACAGAAATTTTGGTTACGCATCCTTTTTAATGCACGATTACGTTTACNCAAAGTTGAGTCTTTGAGCTTTATAAAACTCTAAGACAAAGTATGATTATCTTTACAACAAGACTAGTTACAGCCATTTAAAAATTAGTAAATTTTGAAATTTGAGAAAATAGCTTGCAATTACTTTTTTTTGCATAATCCTCAAAATTTTTACTCAAACTATTAGTAAGTATTGTATTTTTATGTATTACAAATTTCAAAAATGGATAATTAATATAAACTAATATGGAACAAAATTATAATCCATGATTACTTGTAATCATACGATTAATTAATTTATCTTATTGTTATCATGTGTGCTGCCTTTTAATGTGAATGGACCACATTGATGTGTTCTTTTTTCCAAATAATTAAAGTACTTTTAACCCTTAACTCCAATATTGTTTTAATTAAAAAACTAATTACAAAATAGGGAAAGAACGATCAACATAGTATGCTTTATTTAAACTTATGTGGTTATTTACATTTACATTGTTTTCCTTCCCCATTCTTCATGTGTCACCTACAGTTACAATACAATCCCTATACCAGATCTATAACAACAAAACAAAAAGGAATTCTATAATGACATCCAAAACAAAACAATTCCTACCTACACTTGGATGTGAAAAATGATTGAAGGCCAAAGAGAGTAGTAACGTCTTTATTGAGTTGTGGAACCTACAGTTGGATATTTATTTATTATGGATATTAATTAAAAAAACAATCCATTTACATATAGGTACGTCAATTTCTCAAAGGTAATAAATTACCTGTGCAAGGACGTTTCTGTATTTTTCTCTTGTATAATTTTTACACCTTCTTCTAAAACAGGTCTTAACGTTTCATTTTCTTTTTCACGTATCCTACACTATCCAGTGTTCGCTTTCATTACATTCATTTCGATCCTAAATCTCCCTATTACCGCTACATCCTTTTCTTCCTTTAAATATTCGGGCAATAAATCCCCTTGTTACTTCTTCCACAGAATTTCTTCCAACTCTTTCATGTATTTCGACTTCTGCATACTCTTTAAGTGTTCCCCTCCTCTTATTTCCTAACTGATTTTCTTTAACCATAATTCCTAAATTCATTCTTTCTCTTCTGCACTCCTGTAGTTATTTCTGATTTATTATTATCTGAGGCTTTTTTTTTCTCTCGACTCTTGTTCATTAAACATACTTTTTCATACAGTACCTGCACAAAAGTTTTGTTAAATCATGAATAGTAGTGCGAGTCGAAAACAAGTGTTAAAGCCTTTAATATGTCTTCAAATATGAATAAACATCTCGTTGATATTTTCAGTAGTAAATGGTACCAATAACAGCACATTTGAGCAATGCAATTGTATTGGATAGAATGGTCAATTTTTCCGTGCAGTACTGTACGGTTTATACGCTCCTCAGCGGTTAAGAGTTTGGTCGAGAGTTGTCTCCTTCCTTTTCTGGCCTAGTGCTGTTCTTTTCTACTTTGCGCCG